TATCTATATTTATTTAGAGAAAACACTAAGCAATAAGGAGCATATATTTTATAAAAACAATTTGTTTTTTTCTTAAAGCACCAATAAAATTTTAAGTATTTATATTTATCTAGAGAAAAAATTAAGCAATGAGGAACCCACATTTTATAAAACGATTTGCTTTAAAGCACCAGTGACACAGATGAACTTTAAGCTGTATGATTTCCAGCATTTTACTGTACTGTGTACAACAGCTCAAATAAGGACTGTCATTATAAAAACATCACATGGAAGAGTTCAGTCATCAGAGTCATTACAAACTACAACATAGAAGGTATCAGAAGATCATACAGAAATGGCAAGAATGGGGTCAGAGTGACTGTCCCTCAGTGTTGCTCCATAAATTAATATTACTATACTAGAGACAGAAACGATCTCAGGAGTTTTGCAGGGCTTTGCCCTGAAGGGATATGTGAACGTGTTAGTTTGCATATCAAAAGCTGCTCCACCTCAGGAGGGCATCTCAAAGGTCAGTAGCAGCTGCTTTTCAAGGTGAGGCTGCAGTCTCAAACCTGTGGTTCTCACCTGCTTTGAAGGACAAAGCAGGTCTGCATGGAGCCACGGGATGAGAGCTGATCGAAGAGTGCCCGCCCAAGAGACAGACTCCTGCAGCTAAAAACAATTAGCCCAAGGGACAATTCCTGGTTGACTTCTGATTACCTGTCTCCATCTGCAATAACTAGACAAAGAAATATGGAGCCACTATACCTCCGTTTAACCCTTCTGTTAAGTGATAGCTTTATCTTAGAAGTTTGTCCTTTAAAGATTTTGTAACCATTTATTCACGCAGATAGAGTTAATTAAGATATCTATAGAAGCCTACGAAATACTTTTTTAATTAAGGTATAATAGTTTTTTTTTTTAGACATAATGCTAATACACACTTAGGAGACTGCAGTATGGTATACACATAACTAACTTGTATGTGTACTGGGAAACCAAAAAGTTCATGGAACTTGCTTTTTTGCAATATTTGCTGTACTGCAGTGGTCTAGAACCAAACCTGCAATACCATTGAGGTATGCTAGTATAGTTTTTCCAGAGGAGAAAAACAATCTGGCTGGGTGTGGTGGCTCACACCTATAATAACGACACTTTAGGAGGCCAAGGTTGGAAGATCGCTGGAGGCCAGGAGTTCAAGACCAGTCTGGGCAACAGAGCAAGACCCTGCCTCTACCTACCTACCCCCTCAACCGAAAAAAATCAAAGTATTAACAAATTTCCTCTTGATAAACTTAAAACGAAAATTTAAATGCAACGTACATATGCTCAATACTCAGATACTTCTAAGTTTCCACTTTACAAAATAAAAATTGACTACTGAAGTTTTCTTTTCTGATTACCTGCTTTCTACAGTCACTTCCATCCAATGCATACAAGAAACTGGAGCCTCCACGGAAAAAGAGTGCAAGCTTTCAGGTTTTTCCACATCACACAAAACAATTTTCTTGGTGTCAGCAAGAGCAAAGGCCAAAACTAAAAGATGATAAGAAAAAACAATCAGAATTAGTGTAACATTTGAGAAAAACAAATGCACATTTCACTTATTGCCCAGTTTTACTCTTTTAAATACACCTTAATCGTAGAAATCATTTAACCTAAAAATCTTTCAATATACTGTAGTTATATTATCTAAGCTTACTTTCAATTGCTCAAACTTCGTAAGTCATCTACTACTTTCTCACATATTGCACTTAATGCCTTATATATCAAAGTCCCTAGTCTGGAACCCTGTTGTCAAGCTGAAAATACAGAAGAGGTCTCAACACCAAGACATACTGGTTCCATAAACATGTCTGAAAGGTAAGAAGTGATTCCATCTGCTTTGTTCTGGGAAGGCCTTTTATTCCCCTTTATGTTTCTAACTCATAATGAGACACAAGACCATCAAATACTGATTAATCTTCATCCTTTGAGTGTGGCTGAATTATCTAGTGTAGTTTCTCTCCATAAGTCATTAAATTCTTCCTACCACATCCAATTTAAGAATTTCCAAATAGAGTGCAATGAGTTTCACCACATACCACCACATGCAACTTTGTTAGATGTGAGGGAATCCTGGCTTCTTTTCTTAAAGACAATTTTAAACAATCTTGGAATGACTGTTACCTAATAAAAAACATATTTTACTGTCCAAAAACAAACTTTTTATTAATGATAAACACATCTACTTAAACACAGTTTAACACACACTGACTTTCGTGATTTATCTTTGCGAACCTGTGTTTTGGGATGAATAATGCAAGATCTCAAGACGTTATTCACAAAAGTCCTCCTATTTTCTACATACGCCACACATATTCTGAGCAAAATGAGTACAGAATGAGTACAGAATTTTAAAAGCATTCTTAGAAATTCCACTTGTGGGAATTAATCTAAGGAGCTAATCACACAAAGTTCTTTCCAGC